ACAAATCAATGTGAAGAAGTTCCAACGGCCTAGAGAAAGAAACAACATTTTTTGACTTGAAAGAAGGTTTTGAAAATTTTCCTTTCTGACATGCTTCACACAGAGCTTCTGAGTTGAACTTCAGATTGGGAAGTCCCCTGACTAGATTGAGTTTGTTAATTTGAGATATTCTTCTCCTTCTAACATGTCCTAATCTTCTGTGCCAGACCCATTGCTCATTGCTAACAGACATAATGCATTTTACATTCTGAGTTATAAGGTAAGAAAGATCAATTTATAGATGTTGTTCTTTCTCTTTCTAGTAAAAAGGATTGTTACATCTTTTTGACTAACAACTCTACATGATTTTTGATTAAAGATTATGTCATAACCGTTGTCACTTAATTGACTTATGGACAACAATTTATGCGCTAATCCTTCTAACAACTCTACAGGTTACTGTTTCAAATGGTTCAAAAACCAATAATCTTTCCTTTCTGATTTCCTCCAAATTTGACATCTCCTCCAGATTTAAGTTCCAGACTTTGGAACATAGACTTTCTTCCCGTTATATGTTGTGAGCATCCAGAGTCCAGGTACCATGACTGGAGTTTCAACTGTGTTGTTAAGGACATCTGCAATATATATTATTTTCTCCTTAGGTACCCATATCCTTTTGGGTCCTTTTTTGTTAGAGTTTCTAAAGTTCTGTTTGAACTTTGATTTAGCATAAAAAATTTCAGAGTGAGATGTGTGTTTGATATCATGTGTGTGCCCAAAACTAAATTGGTTGTGCAGTGGTTTATATGTGATAACCATTTCCTCAATAGGTTTAGGTTTATATGTTTCTTTCCCTTTGGGAGTTTCATATCCAATTCTTCTTCAGTTATTTCCACTAACACCATAGATCATTGAAGCCATTTTGCTTCTATCTATGCTTTTAGAAAGAAATGTTTGAAAATTAGAGTCATATTCTTTAAGAATATCTCTTGAACTTGAAGTAGAATCTGAAATAGAAATATTTTGAACTTTTCGAACTTCCTCTTTGAGTTTAAAATTGTTTTCTTTAAGTTCAGAGTTTTCTGTTTCAAGTTTCTCAAAATTAGATGCAAGATTATTTTTGAGTTTCTTGTATTTGATTTTAAGTTGATTGTAGTTTTCAAGAAGTTCTGATAAGCTTTCTACAAGTTCGGCTCTAGAGAATTCAGAGAACACCTCTTTCGGTTCTGAATCAGAGTCTGGGTCATTGTCATCTGCTGTGGTAGCCATAAACGCTAGGTTAGCGTGCTCATCTTCTGAGTCAGATTCAGCTTCAAAGTTTCCTTCTTCTGCCTGAAAAGCGTTAGTTTCACATTTTTTAATAGATTTAAGGGAGAAAGACTTACCTTTATTCTGAGGCTCATGTTCATCAAGTTCTATCTCGTGACTTATTAATGCACTGATAAGTTCTTCAAGAGATACATCATTCAAATCTTTTGACACTTTGAATGCAGTAAACATGGGTGCCCATCTTCTGGGTAAACTTCTGATAATTTTCTTAACATGGTCTGCCTTGGTGTATCCTTTGTTCAGAATTCTCAGGCCAGCGGTCAGAGTTTGGAATCTTGAGAACATAGCTTTAATGGACTCATTTTCTTCCATTTTGAAGGCTTCATACTTCTGGATGAGAGCCAGAGCTTTTGTCTCTTTTACTTGAGCATTGCCTTCATGATTCATTTTGAGAGACTCAAACATGTCATGTGTTGTATCTCTGTTGGTGATTTTCTCATATTCCGTTTTAGAGATAGCATTCAGAAAGATATTTCTGACTCTGTGGTGATTTTTGAAATCTAATTTCTGTTGTTTATCCATGTTCTTTCTGTCAATCTTGTTTCCGTCTTTGTCTTCTGGATGTGTGTAACCATCTCAGACCATATCCCATAAATCAGCATCATGACTTAGAAAGAAACTTTCTAGTCTATCCTTCCAGTATTAAAAGTCTTCTCCATCAAACACAGGAGGTTTGGTGCAGTTGTTGTTGTTTTGTTCAGATGCAATAGTGTTTTCCTTATGGATCTTTTTCTGACACAGTTAGGTGTTTGCACCCATAACTAGATCTCTGATGCCAATTGAAGGGTGAGAAAACACTTAGAAGGGGGGGGGGGGGGGGGGTTGAATAAGTTTTTTCTTTTTTTCGCGCAATAATAATGGAAGAACACTGATAATTTTGTCTTGGTTAGTTTGAAACTCAAACTACTCAAGTCTACTCGCCAAGCTGATTTCGCCTCTCTTAACGAGGAATTAATCCATTATAATCAAAACAATTACAAATGCACAACCAAACTGTTGCAACTAACAATAATACAATGTACAAGCCAACTAGAAGTGACTAATAATATAATGCACGAGTCAACTTCAAGTGACTAACACCTCTAAGACTCAACTAGTCCTAGCCCTCTTGAGAAATCTGACCTAACTGGTCTCTCAAGGAATAATTACAAAGATTATCTCTTAACAGTAGTGAATCAGAATGCTTCTAATAAGCTATATCACAAACTGTAATTTATCACTAAGATTTTAGCCCAACACTTAAGAATTACCCACTATATACAAAGAGTTTACAAGAATGAAAATAGTGACCTTCGGTATATTTTGCGTGGATCAGTAACCTTGCTTTGAAACAAATGGTCTTCTATATATAGCTTCCAATTTTGACCGTTACTGCCTTGAAGAGAGAGTATGCATTAATGATGCGTGTTAGCTTGAACTTTATGTTTCCAGTGCTCTCGTGCGTAGTACCACTTGAGTGCGTTATCCGTCTTAGCATTAAATGATCAATGATACTGTCAGATCTTGTCTCTGGAAGTTTAAGAGTTTGCTTGCAGTGTTGCAACATCAAAGTTTGCTTTAACTTTTCTTCTATCAGAGTTTGCTATATCACTCCTTCTGTCATAGTTTTCTTCATTTTAGTTCATCAGAGTTTGCTTCAGCTTGCATTATTAGATATTGCTTTCAGCGTGCTTCTTTCAAATCTTTGCTTCAGCTAGCTTTATCAAAGGTTGCTTAAGATTACTTTTTTATCAGAGTTTTTCTTGGAGTGTTTCCTTCAGAGTTTGCTTCAAACTTGCGTTTACATAAAATTTCTTAGGAACTTCTTTATCCTTTTTCTACTCAACGTAGAATGATGTTTCACTTTTGAGAATGCTTAAGTCATAATATCATCTGAATTAGAAAACATGCACATCAGAGTATAAAATATATTATAAATATTTATTTCATTGTTATCATCAAAACTCTAAGATATGATTAGAACCAAATTTTATTCTAACAGCAAAGTCCCAAGTCTTCATCATGAACTTCTTACTGCTGCCATTGTCAGATCACTCCCTATCACATACATGATCAAAGCATTCTCCCAGAACTTAACCTCTGATGAGATATCCCGCTCTTCAATAACGACTTCAATTTCTCCATTAACAATGGAAGGTGGCGTATACATAATATTTAGACCGTTTGATGAAGAATGATTACCTCTTATTATGTCAACCCAGGGTTGAGCTTGAGCTGATAGTTCTGCATCGTGCTCCTCTGATTCTTCCTCAGGAATCGAACTTAGCACATGCTCTACTGAAGCTTTTTCGTTGAACATTTATGAATCGAAAGTTACGGTAGTACCCTTTCCATGAGATTGTGAAGCTGGCGAGAACACTCTAACGCTCGCCGGAGGCGTTTGAACCACCTGTTTCCGCGGTGGTCTTCCACGCTTGCCCATCCTTAAAATCTTCGCTCTGCTAGGGCACTTATTATTACATGAAAAAAGAATGAACAAATAAAACCATCAAATCAAAAGCTATACATATGAAAAATCTCAATACATAAACTTCAAATTTAACCCTAACAAAAACTTAAAATAAAAATAGTAACAATAAACACATGATAATCTATTCATACATGGATTAGAAAAAATTCTAATAGCACAAGAAGTGCTTATACAGAGTACATAGCAGACACCAAGCATATTGGCCACTCCACACCTGAAAAACACAAAAAACTCCTTGCAGGTATCACCTCATCACCATGTTAACAGAAAATCCAAAAACTAACCACCTAAATCAAATGACCAACACAGAAGAACCAATATAAACTAAACATGTACAAAATACTAAAAATCCATTGAGACTAATCTATGATGGAAACACTAAACATGACTCAATTCTAATCTGAATAAAAATTTGACTGATCCCTCTCGATGTCTGAGTCAATAATGCAAATTGCAGCCACTGAAAACCGCAACTCTTGCGATATCTATTACCGAATAGAGGCACCGAAAAAACCGACAAACTTGTAGAGAGAATATAGACGTCATATCTGGACCAAATTCGAATACTCCTGCACCCACTTTTGCTCTCTACATACTGAATGACATGCTCTCCAACTGAAAGAATGCTCTGAACTGACTATTTATGCACCAAAACATGTATAAAAACATGTTCTGAACTGACTATGCAGGAACTAGAAATGCATATTTGGTTCTAAACCGTAGTTATATTTCCGGTTTCATTGTTGGTTTTTCAAAAAAAAAGTGTGTCATAAGAATATAGGATATTTTCCCTCCTATATAGGATGCCATAAAAAATCTCATTTATATTGTATCTCTTGTTTTTTAGGAGAATTAAGAAAGATCAAAATTTGTTTTTTATGTCAATTTCTTTTGATGCAACTTAGACCTAGATTTAACCTAGCATAGTCTATCGGTATGTAAAGAGCACTATGGAAGTGGAACTGTTTATCAAAGTGGATAGCGCACTGATGGCATTCCTATTGGAAAAGGTGATACGAATAAGACCATTAAAACACTTGATGTGTGGGCAAACATGATCTAATGCCCCAGAATCAATGATCCACATAGAGAATAACTTTAAATCAATACATGTGTTGGTGATACTTGATACTACATGTGAAGTCTCAACTGAGAGGTTCTTATTTATGCTCATGTATATTATTATTGGAAATGAACAAAACGGAATCCCTCTTCGTTTCTTTCATGTCATAGTAACCATCTCTAGTGCCTCTCTTGTTAGTCCAAGAATGTTGAAGACTGTTGCTGCTATGTGAGACGATGTGAGACCAGCTAGAGCCAACTGCTCAGCAGGTGAACAATGATCAATATAAATATCAGGAATAACCATTGGCCTCCACTGCATAATATCAAACACATTTCAATTTTCAGCAACTAGCTCAATATTTAAGGTCAAGTTAGAAAAACAAAAAGCATGCATATATACCTTCAATTTTCCATCAAGAAGACCATCAAGGGCCATGAACTGAGCAACATGAGATCCAAATCCTCCTACTGATCCTTCTTCCACAGTGATCAAAACATCATGTGATTTTGCTAGCCTGCGAATGAGGGAATGGTCCAATGGCTTGCAGAAACGTGCATCAGCCACCGTTACATGTAAGCCGTCTTGTTCCAACATGGAAGCTGCAGCTACACAGTTCTGTACTGCTGTTCCAAAACCCAAAAGGGCCACTCTTTCCCCTTCAATCAATATCCTACCTTTTCCAATCTGTTAAATGCCGAATTATAAATGTTAAGCTCATTTGTAAAAACTGTTTTTTAAAATAATGACAACACTACACTGTCTAACGCAATTACTTTTGATTGAAAGTGACGCGTTAGAGAACATGTTGCTAACAGTTCTTTCTAGTCATCTTCATAAGGTATAATTGTGAAGTATAAATGTGGCCAAAATTCTAACTCACCTCAAGAGGAGTGCCTCTATTCCCTGGCGGTAGTTCAACACCAATTCCATTTGCTCTTGGAAATCGAAAACAACTAGGTCGATCGTTAATGGAAACAGCAGTAGCAACCATGTGGATCATCTCTGCTTCGTCAGAGGGAGCCATCACCACCATGTTAGGGAGACATGCCATGTAGGTGATATCAAAAGCACCACAGTGTGTTGGACCATCTTCTCCAACAAATCCAGCTTTATCAACCACAAATCTTACTGGCAGCTTTTGCAAGTCCACATCATGCACCACCTATGAAAGGACACGACAAAAGTTAATGTTATACAATATGCTACTATAATATATGAGATACTTTATTACATTACACTACCTGGTCATAAGCTCTCTGCAAGAAGGATGAGTAAATAGTGCAAAAAGGCTTAAAACCTTCGCAAGCTAGACCTGCAGCAAATGTAACAGCATGTTGTTCTGCTATCCCTACATCAAAGCATCTTGTAGGAAAACGGTGAAGGAAGTGATTCATTCCAGTTCCACCTCCCATTGCAGCGTGAATTCCAACAATGTCTTTGTCAACTTCTGCTTCTGCAATCAAAGCATCCGCAAAGCATGATGTGAGTACCGGGGTAAGAGCCTTGCCCTTGAACTGTTTTCCAGTAGCAGGATCAAACTTGGCAACTCCTGCAAAATTAAACCATGTTAGATACATATCATAAACATTAATTATGCTTTTTATAGAGAAACTTTGTTTTCTTTACCATGGTACTTATCTGCTGCTCTTTCTGCATAAGGATATCCAAGACCTTTTTTAGTGACAACATGGATTAGTACAGGACCAGTTTTCTCAGTACTCTTAACTTTGTCGAGTATAGCAACAAGATCATCAAAGTTATGACCATCAAGAGGACCAATGTAGCAAAGTCCAAGCTCTTCAAATAGTGTTGATCCAGAACCACTACTCATGCCACTATGCAGAGGTCCAGCAATTTGTTTTGATTGTAACTTACTAAGAGCTCTACTCAAAGCACCAACAGGTGGTATTGGACCATCAAGATCAGCAGTAGGCAAAGAGACCTGTTTATTGTCATTAAGAATAACAATCATGTCAGATTGAAGATAACCGGCATTGTTCATGGCTTCAAAAGCTTGACCCGCCGTCATAGCACCATCACCGATAACCGCGATTACTTTATTATTTTCTCCCTTTAAATCCCTTCCAACAGCCATTCCTGTTTGTGCAGTAAAATTATCAAAATTTAATGAGCCAAATTTCAAAACCAATTGTACCTAGAAACATATATAGATATGAATAAAAGAAATACCTAACCCTGCTGATATTGTTGTTGAACTGTGACCAGTGCCAAAGCAATCAAATTCACTCTCAGACCTTTTTGTAAAGCCACTTAATCCATCTTTCAGCCTCAAAGTAGGCATCTCATTCCTTCTACCAGTGAGAATTTTATGAGGATAACACTGCGAAATTCACACACACACACACACGATTGTATTAATAAGACCAAGTGTCAAAACCTTATGAAATCAACCAAAACCAAATACTATGCTGATAGTAATATATAACAAGTAACCTGATGACCAACATCCCACAAGATTTTGTCTTTAGGAGCATTGAAAACATAGTGAAGAGCAACAGTGAGTTCAACAACACCAAGGTTTGATCCCAAATGACCTCCAGTTTCAGAAACATTGAATATAATATCTGAACGCAGCTCATCCACAAGTTGTTTCAATTCCTACATCACAATTTTAACAACATTAAATACGATTCCAAGACATTGGTTTTCTTAAATCCTTTAAAATCACCAATCACCCTCCTAAGGCACCTTCTATCAAGGAGGCTATATGGAATCCTCCTATCATCAATTGGATAAACTCCAATGCAGATGGCGCATCCACCACATTCATGGCTGCATGTGGTGGAGTTTTTAGAAACACACACCCTGACTTCTTAGGAGCTTTTGCTGAACTAGTTGGCATGAATTATGCTTTCTTTACAAAGGTGTCTGGTGCTCTTCAAGCCGTTGAGTTGGCTCAAAATCTCCATTTGCATTTACGTTAGAGAAAGTATAATTGAGAGTGAGAAAATGCACTTACATTTGCATTAACATTTATTTATAATACCTCAAGGTATATATCCAATTTACAACGGAGTGAGATACAAGTAAGTCAAGCTAAAAACAGAAATCAACTGTCTGTAACTGATTACACAAAATCAGTAATCGGTTACAATAGAAATCAATTGTCTGTAACTGATTACACAAAACCAATAACCGGTTACAGTTGTTTCAACAAAAATAAAACATAACAGTGATAATCAATTATTGTGAATGCGTTACCAATTATATCTTTGAATAAATCACTTATTTTTAATTATTTTGACTTTTTTACATAGTTGTAATCAATTACACTTTTGTGATAACCGATTACGGCATTTAAATTATGAATTTTCACTAATAATAAAAAAAAAATTATTGAGTTATGCTTTATCAATTATATAAATAAAAAGTGTACATATATATCATTGTTATTACACCTATTTTTTTTTTTTTTTGACTATGATAATATTTTATATGAAATCACATAAGCGAATATGTAAATATTAAAATCGATATCATCATGTGCTAAAATTGAATATCTATATTTAAATATTTAGATGATTAAGTATTAATCATTAATCATAGGTAACCATATATTTTAACTTCATTTACTATTGAAATAATTTTCAAAATATTATGTCAAATTGCTTATATATATATTTCACCTTATTAGAGAGATTCTTCATATGAGTTGGATAGTTTATAGTATCCAAGAGTGGGGTTGGTAGTCTATGAGAATAATATTCCCCAGGTTCTGATTTTGTTGCATAAACTCCGCATGACTTTTTTCTTTCCTACATCCATTCAAAATAAGACACATGCCTTTCTTTTAGAACACCAGTTCCATCTCAAAAAATAATATGTTTGCATGTAATAATAACATTGCAAACCTGGTTGAGTCTGTAATAGTCAGTACCACCAAGAAGAGTTGATCTTCTTTGATCCAAAGGTCTTGTTGCTTGGCTCAAATAGACAGGAAGTGTTAATGTTGGCATTGGAACCATGGTAGAACAACTCAACAAAAACTAGTTGATGAGAAAGAGAGAGTGAGAATGAATGAATGTGTTTCTTATTTATTAAATAAGATGGAAGAATTAATACTTCAAACTTATAATATTTAAGGGCATTTAAAAATATGATTAATTGAATTATGTATTTGAATTGAACCATAAAATGACAGAATTATTTAATTAAAACAATTTAAATTTAGTTTAAAATTGATTTAAAACTATTTTTTTTATAAATTGATTTAATTATATAAATTAGTTTTTAAAAAAAATTTGGAAAAGAAAAAAATTTTGCTAAAAAAAATTCTTGAAAACATGTCCCAAAAAGAAAAAAGAATTATGAAAAGATATTTTTCCAAAAAGATTATTTCTCTGGAAAAAAAAAAGTTTTCTTGGTCAAAAAATACATTTTTGAAAAACAAATTAATTTTCAAAAGAAAAAAATTTCGAGAAAAAATTCTGAAAAAAACATTTTTTATTGAAAAAAAACTTTTGCCTATTTTTTTAATATAAAGAATTTTAATTTTTTATGAAAAAAACATTAGCTTTAAAATAGTTCAAAATATAAATTTGATTTTAAATTGAAAACTAATTATAAATTAGTTTATAAATATAAACGGATTCTAAATTAGTTTTAAATTTAATTGAACAATTTTAACAGTTAATTGAATTTTTATTGAAAATGGAATTGAAATATAAATGTGAGCTTGGTTTAATGCATTTTATAAATCATGAACACTATTGATATTTAACTTTAGATTCACACTTTGATAAATGATTATTTTTGTTGAAAAAATTAAATGTCTACCTGCACTATGCGTGACCCTTTTTATAAATTATTATTAATAAATACTATAAAATATATTTTTATTAATATTTTTAGAGTTTATTTTATATAAAAAATTCAATAATTTACCACTGAATTTTATAATTATATTTATTACAATCAAATTAAAAAATAAGTAAAAATATTTAATTATAATATAATATAATATAAAAATATCTAATACTGTGAATTTATTATAGTAATAATGGACATTATAAAAAAATATCATTCTTCTTATATCACTAGAGATGACAATAGGTCAGATCAGATCAGTCTATAGAAGTCTATAGCCTAGCCTACTTAAAGTCAGGTTAGGCTAGGCTTATTTAATAAAAAGATTATGATTAAGTTTTTTTAAAAGCTTATTTAATTAAATAGATAAAGTTTAGGCTATTAAAAAAAATCTATGAAGCTTTATAGGTCGATCTACGTTTTCATATATATTAAAAAAAAATTAACTAGGTTAGTCTATATATGTATATATATTAGAAAAAAGATTTTATATATATATATATATATATATATATATATATATATATATATATATATATATATATATATATATATATATATATATATATATATATATTAAAATAAAGGCTAAATAGATCAGCCTATATATGCACATATATGTCAACCTATAAAGTTTCTTAAATAATATGAATTAATTGAAAATTTTAAGGAGAAAAAAAATTTTAAATAGGCTTTGAGATCAGACCAGTCTTTTAAAAAGATCAGACCAGACAAAAAAGAGAACTTATAATAGGCCATAAGCTAGACTCATGTCTTTCATGTTTATCGTAAATCAAACTCAGGCCTTCTAAGACCTAGCCTAGTCTATTTTCACCCCTATATACCACTTATCTTTATAGACATTTAAATCTTCAACCATATCTATTTGGTCTATAGCAATAAATAAATAAAAATTCAAATATTAATATAATTCTCTTCATTGCAATCAACTTAAAAATTGAATTAAAAATTTTAAATTAATATAATACAAACACCTTCAACATTATGAGTTTATTATAGTAATCCATTTTTTATTCATTAAATTGATTTTATATCATATCAATATTTTCATGAGTAGTTCTTTCTTCTCAATTATATTTAAATTAATAATAAGTTCAATCGAATCTTATCAACGAAACATATAATTAAGGGGGGAAAATTGCAATAATGGGAATGCAAGATCAAACCCATTAAATTAACAAATTAAAGAATAAATAAAATAAATGATAAAAACAAAAGAAAAAATAAACAATGAAAAAGATAAATTAAAAACAAAAATCTAAATTTGAGAGGTCAAAACGGTTCTTAAGAAATTCTAGAAAATATATTATGTATTTCATATGAAAATATAATAATAGAGTATGAAATTTAATAAGATAAAAAAATATGCAAATAGTTATTAGAAAAAAAACCTCTTAGTGATTAGAGTTATAATCAATTGGGAATATTGTGAAAAACTCTATAAAAAAATCAATAGGTAGAATAAGTAGCAAAAGAAGTTAGAATTAAGGGTGATTATTAAAGTGGATAAGAATACAAAAATAAATAATGTTTTATTATTGCTTTCATATATTATTATGGCATAAAAATAATAAAAAATAATATTCTATTAATTAATATAAAAATAATAATCAATAAACATAAATAAATAATTACATTAAAATAGTTTTTTTATAATACTAAATAAATAAAAGCTACTAAATCTTTTTTAGGGACAATTAGAATATATTATGTATAAGTTAAAGGAGAAGAAGATGAAGTCCTAATTATTATAAAATTGTTATTAAAAAAAGAATATAATATCTAAAAAATAATTATTTTATAATTCAAAAGGAGATATTATTAATAAAGAATATAATAATTTATATTAATAAAAAGTATTAATATAAATTTATGTTTTGAAATTAAAATCATGAATGCATTAATTAAAATTAAAATTTATTATAATAATGTGAAATGAAATATATTTTTAAATTTTTATTAAGAGTCATGTTTAAAACCTTTTATATTAAAGTTATTTTATTTTCTGTAAAATTTTGGAATCTAATATTTTTTAAAATGAGTTTTTTTAATAACCAAAAAGCTATTATACCCAAAAAATTAAAGAAAAAGAAAGAAAAAGAAAATAAAATAAGATATAGATATATCATAAATATATTAAAACCATTTATTTGTAATTCCTTTTACGTTCAACACATTTCATAAAGAATAAAGTATGCTTATTAAATATCTTTGCACATGAAAACTTTTTTTTTTTTCTGTTGGTATTAAAATATCCACTTTATACACCACATCATTTGTCTCTTAACATTCTTCTAATAATATAATTCAAATAAAATAAAAATAGTCGGTTTTATTTCTCAATCTAAAACTTATAAAATACATATTAACATCATTATAAAAAATAGAGCTTGAATAGTCTTTTATCTTGCTACAAAAACAAATAAATAATCAAGACATGGGTATAAAGTAAGAAATAATAAAAAAAACTATTATACAAGTTTAAAGAGCACTAAAAAGGTAGAGATATGAAAATAGACTCACATATTTATACTCACAATCAACAAAAGCGCATAGAATATTAAAAATTAATAAAATTATAACAAAGAGTTTTTATTATTCAACGTCACCTAAAGCTCCCTTAACCATGTTTAAGTCTCCAATATCCAACCTCGATAGATGTAGAGTGTAATCTAAACATAAAATTTGACTAATAATGATCTTTAATATTTATATCTTTCGTTCACATCAATATTTTCATAACTGATAATCATCTTCTCAGTTAGATTCACTTCAACAATGAACTCAATCACATTTGATCAACAAAAATATATAATATGTTATACATGAAAATAAAATAATTGAATATAATATTCAATAATAAAATAAACTTACCTATAAAAAAATAATGCAACCCCAGTATCATTGTGGATATTAACAAGACAAATATTTGTCTTATCCCGAAAGTCGATCAACCACAATAGTTATTCAATTTCGCCCTATTTCCTTATGTAATACAATGTATAAAATTATTACTAAGGTAATAATTGGGAGGTTGAATCCATATATGTCTTATTTGGTATCTCCATATCAAACGGGGTTTATGCCGGGTAGATCGACTCATGTGAATATTATAATTGTGAATGAACTAATTCATAGCATGAGTAATAAGAAAGGGAGGAAAGGTTATTTTGCGGTGAAGATTGATTTAGCTAAAGCATATGATAAACTTAATTGAGAGTTTATTTGGAGAACTTTAGTGAAAATTGACCCGCCTGAGAAAATAATTAATCTCATCATGCATGGAGTTACGAGCATGAAGACTAATGTGAGCTAGAATGGCAATAGAAATGAGTTTTTTCGTACTCAACGGGGAATTCAGCAAGGTGATCCAATCTCCACTTATCTTTTTGTCCTTTGCATGGATAAGATGTCTCATTTGATTAAGCATGCGTGCATAAGAAAAAGTGGAAGCCTTTTTGCGTAGGAAGGAATGGTGTAGACATAGCTTATTTAATGTTTGCTAATGAATTGCTTATTTTCGGGGAAGCAACAGAGTCACAGATGGAATGTGTTAAAACTACCTTAGATGTCTTTTGTCAAATGTCGGGGCAAGAGATTAGCATTGATAAGTCGAGTATTTTATTCTCTAAAAACACCACTAAGGGTATAAGACCAAAGTTAGTTGCGATGTCGCGTTTTAGAGAGACCAATAGTTTTGGAAAGTACCTGGGAGTTCACTTAACAGGTAAACCTCTTAGAAGAGGAGATTTTAATTATGTGATTGAGCAGTTAATGGAGAAGCTTTCAATTTTAAAATTTAGACATCTATTTTTTACATGGAGAATTACTATTTTAAAGAGCGTCATGGAAGCCATTCTAATTTACCCAATGATGACGAATATGCTTCCCAAGGGGTGTATCAAGGAGATCCAAAAGCTTCAATGTAATTTCATTTGGGGTGATACCGAGCTGAAAAGGAAGTATCGTGCAGTTAGCTGGGAGAAAGTTGTGTCAAGTAAGTGTGATGGAGGCTTAGGGTTAAGGGATCTTGATGTTATGAACCAACTTTGTATTATGAAATTGGGCTACAAGATTATTAATGGCGATTATGATTTGTGGTGTAGAGTTTTAAGAGGGAAATATAAAGTGGATGGTG